CTGAACGATGGGAGGGTGAGGGGGAGTAGTTTCACCCAGTTTATGTAACTTGTAGCGAGTATAAAAGCTTGGCGTGTGTCCCAGGCCGGGGTTCTTGTCTTTGGTGACCACTGCGTTGGTGCCTTAGCACTTGGGCCCTAGCTCGAGCTAGTCAATAAACTCCTTTGTTGTTTGCAGCCTCGGTATTCACCTCTCTGCTCCTGGGGCTGAGGGAAAGCCGGCAGTAACACGTGTCCTTGCTACAATGCGAAACAAACTCAGCTTGTTCAACCGCAGGTGTGTTCTGGGTGGTGCGTAGTTGGAAGGCACAGACACTGTTAAGGCATTCTTGTCAAAACAAAGCAAAACAAAGTCATTTGTTTCCTACAGTTTCTGGAAGTGATCTTGTTCTGTTGTTTAAAGAAAAGGATTGGAATCATACATAAGTGGCCAAAGAAATTTGCCTGTGTGCAACTCAGTTCCTAAATATCCTAGACAGTGTGGGGAATGCTCATCGTGAACCATTGAGATCTTCCCTGGAGAATCAGGGCACTCAGACCTCCAATTGCCTAAGTAACTTTGTGTCGCACTATTCATTTGATGGCATTAAGTCTCTCACAATCACTTTGGGGTCCCTGGATGGGGAAAATGGTTAATGTGCTTGGAAAGGTTTGTGGGGGGAAATCAGCCTTTCAAACCTTTGAGCACAGCTCTGCTTGAACACACATGGATTGTCCGAGTTGGAATCCAAGACAACTGGTGGCATTGCCTAAGGCAATAAATAACTAAACATCAATTGATTGCCATCCTGTACTATTTTTGTATTGATTATTTTTCTTGGAAAAACTATGTCCTGCAAAGCCCTTCTCGTTTCTTGAGATTCAATGGTGAATCTGGCTGGACTAAGAAGTCATACATTACTTTCTATTGAACTAGTTGCCATTTACCTAAGTCACAGAGTCAAGGAGGGATGTTTTACAATTCATGGTTTTACTAAATCAAATCCATAAAATAACAGCTTCAAAATACCGAGACAATGAAATAAACTACTTTGTCATCCTCTCTGCCACATGGTTCCACCCTCTGCTATCTGTCGACACCAGATTTATTTCTCCTTCCCTATTTTCCATCTCACTGTTAATTCCGTAACCTTCCTCTCCCACTAAAATCCAACCCAACGTGGAAGGGTCTGATTGTCTTCGATGCAGCCCCTCCTGTGCATCTTTGATAATCCCTTCCTGTTCTAAGTCCAGAGAGCCCTGGCGTGGGGCTGGGAGGGGGTTAGTGGTTACCCATTGGGCTTCTAACTTCAAGATTAGCAGTTCGAAACCACCAGTTGCTTTGCGGGGAGAAAGGTGAGTCTTTCTACTCCCATAAAGAGTTAAAAGTCTCAGAAGCGCAATGGGGAAGTTCTACCCTGTCCTATAGGGCCGCTATGAGTCAGAATGACATGATGGCAGTAGGTTTGTTCTTCTTTTTCTGGTTAATTTCTATAATTTCATTTCCTGTAACTTTTTCTTACATCTTATTGTACCTTAAGGTATTTAATAAAGATGCTCAATGAATATCATTTTAAAATAATTTTCTTTTTGTAGTAAATATCCCATAAATTTGCCAAATTTAAGTGTACAATTCAACGATTTTCATTCATTTGAATAGTTGTGCAATAATCATATAGTTTTAGAAAATTCTTCTCACTCCCCACAAAAGTCCTTGTGTCAATTGGCATTCATTCCTCATTCCCTCTGCAGTCTCAGACAGCCACCAACCTACTTCCTGTCTACATATAGATTTCAAGAAGTAATTTTTAAGTTCTTAATTTCTTGTTTCCTTACATTTTCCCAACAGCACCCTTCACTTTCTAGTAAATAATTTTTTACTAATTATCTAAGGTAGAGATTTGTATCACCGAGCAATGTTAAATAAATGACATTGGATGACCCCTTCTTCACTAAGCAAAATGATTCCTTTTACCTTCATTATATCATCTAGAAAGCATCGCTCAGATAAAATTCTAAATATCCGGATTTCTCTTCAATTAAATGTCTTTGATTCAGGTTGGCTCTGTTTTGCCACGTTGACGTGGACTGATTACATGACAGTACCTCAGAGTCTTCCAACAAGACAATTCACTTGTGGAAATTAAGCAGCAGGTCAGACAAACATCCTTTTCTACACGCCCTTTGTCTTCAGTCCCAGAGAGAAGGACATCCCCTGAGAACAATTATAAAGGAGAGACATTCAGGATGTTGCTTCCTGTGTGGGTCAAACCCAAGTCAGGATCTACAGCTTTCATGAGCTTTACTTTATTTAGTTAAATGGGTCCTCCTTGGTCCATCTTAATCTCTTACATTTAACACAACTTTAAAAATACGTTTCCACTTATTTTATTTGCATTCTCTCGATTTAAACTGAGGCCAGGTGCTGAACTCCATCGTAAGCAAGTGAGCATGATAAAGAAGACACCATTAGTTTCTGGTCTGCTTTTCACAAACAGCTATATTGATTTATAGAGAAATATTTTCCATGAAGAATTGAGAATGTTGAGAGACAGCATACAATGTGCATCAATAGTAGCTGTGGTGTTTATGGTTTTATAATAACAAAAAACCAGATCTATCTTATACTTAGAAAACAATGCTAAATGATTTAAAAGCAAACAAACAAAAGCAGACAACACCAGGTGGGGTGCTGTAAGACGATTGTCTCGGGTGTCAATGGTGGTAGCACGGGACACTGAAAAGCTGCCGTAGGACATTCACATTGTTGGGAGACTGAAGACGCTTTCAGAACCAGTTCCGTGATGGCCGTTTCTTTCCTCAGGCATCTGTGATTTTGGTCCTGAGAACAGTGACTTATTTCCATCAAAGTTTTCAGACGTGATTTCTCAAATGCCCCCAACTTCAATAGACAAGGGAGCACTTGGACCCAGAAGTTAACTGACCATTACATTTTCACTCCCTCTTATATTTTAACACCAGCACTACAGACATTTTT